TCAATACGCATGTTCAGACCTCATGGCCGACACAGCAAGTGGAACCGTGCTGCCAACCCACGTTGCTACATCAGGGGGAGTAGAGGAACCTTGGAAAATTGCGATTCGCCACGGCGATGTTCTGGGACTGGATCGATCTCGAGGCGAGGCTTTGCAGGGAGTGCGGGACTTGATCCCACCGCATTTCGTATGGACGGGATTTGGTTCATTTTGCTTAACAAATACAATAACAATGATACTCGAGGGCACGAGCATGTCCCGCCACTCCCCAGCAGCAAGTCTTCGCCGGGAGTCTAAGCGGGATGAGGGGACTCAGCGTCATTTTCATTCTGCCTAGTCATATTATCATGGCGGTTTCAATCATCATGCCCGCCCCTTTCATTGCCACCATCACATAGACGATCGCCAACAGACGTGGCCATGGAAGTTTTGAAAATGACCATGACACGGCAAGATAACCATCATGGCCCAATCGCCGAACACATGAACGCGCGTCACCTAACGCGCGACGAATCCCATATGCCCCGCGCGACGCCCATCTGACAACCCAAGGAACTCCTATTTCCACCGCAGCAAGTACATTTGTAGCCATCCAAGTGGAGTTTCAGACATGTGGCACAGGCATGTGGCGTGGCACCTCGGCGTATAATGTATACGCTTACTGGGATGACCGTGGGGGTTCCTAAGTGGATAGGGGGTTTACAAGTGGATGCCAAGGTGGGTTATATCTGGCCCAACCTGGCTTATGAGTGGGTTACAAGTGCCCCAAGTAGCTTAGGGGGGGTCGATAACTCGGCTAAGTGGGCGGAGCCCACCTAGCCCAGATAGTTAACCCCCCTGAGCTACTTAGGGCCATTGTAACCCACTTATAAGCCAGGTTGGGCCAGATATAACCCACCTTGGCATCCACTTGTAACCCCCCTATCCACTTAGGAACCCCCACGGTCATCCCAGTACATGGTAGAGGCACGTCGCATATCCTCCTGAGCTACAAGCCATGCGTTGAAATGCATACCAAATGCACGTTGAATACTCTCTGGCCTCCAGCGTATACGCTTACGGCCGTGCGGCATGCATGAGACATTCTTCACCGCAACCAAATAAAGAGTTCAAACGCATTCACGCTATATGCTATGCTGTTCTAATGTGTGGCCTGCTCTGCTATTGTAAATCTGCTGCGCTGCACGTCTGTTTCATGGTATATTATACATAACCATAGCTGTCCGAGGCTGTAATGGGATATGCTTATCCTCCGCCTCATCCTCGTCCTCCTCCTCTTCTGCTTCATCTCCCCGTCTCTTGTACCACCCACCCACTCCCTCGCTTCCGCCTCCTCCCTCGAATTCAGGTCGCACCCAGTGTATGTGCCCCTCGGGTTGTCCCCTCGTCGCAATCGCCTGGCGCGGCCCGAAGGGAGTTGAAACGGCGTCCAGGAGGGGCCGCGAGGCGAGTCTTGAGCAGGTCCTGGTCTGGAGACGTAAAAGAGCCCATGCTCAGGGGCGCGGCCGGAGAGGAAGGCCCGTACTGGGATGACCGTGGGGGTTCCTAAGTGGATAGGGGGGTTACAAGTGGATGCCAAGGTGGGTTATATCTGGCCCAACCTGGCTTATAAGTGGGTTACAAGTGCCCTAAGTAGCTCAGGGGGGTTAACGATCTGGGCTAGGTGGGCTCCGCCCACTTAGCCGAGTTATCGACCCCTCCTAAGCTATTTAGGGCACTTGTAACCCACTTATAAGCCAGGTTGGGCGCGGCCGGAGAGGAAGGCCTGTATAGCCCATTGTTGCTCAAGCCGGGGCGGATGTTGGCCCAAGAGAGCCCCCCCATCCCCGTGGGGCCGCGCGCCGTGTGCAGGCGTGGCCGGCATGACCGAAGAGTGCTGCTGTCCGGCACGGAGGTCTCCGTGCGCCCTCCTCCTCCTCCTCCTCCTCTCCCCTCCTCCTCCCTCCTCCTCCTCTCCTCATCCCTCTCTTCCTCCTCCTCCTCCTCCTCCTCCTCCTCCTCCTCCTCCTCCTCCTCTCCTCCTCCTCCTCCTCCTCCTCTTCCTCCCCCTCCTCTACCTCTCTTCCTCCTCCCTCCTCCTCCTCCGCCTCCTCCTCTCCCTCCTCCCCTCCTTCTCCTCTCCCCTCCTCTACGGCACGGAGGTCTCCGTGCGCCCTCCTCCTCCTCCTCCTCCTCCTCCTCCTCCTCCTCTCCCTCTCTTCCTCCTCTCCTCCTCTTCCTCCTCCTCCTCCTCTCCTCTCTCCTCCTCTCCTCCTCCTCCTTCCTCCTCTCCTCCCCTCCTCCTACCCTCTCTTACCTCCTCCTCCTCCTCCTCCTCTCCTCCTCCTCCTCCTCCTCCTCCTCCTCCTCCTCCTTCTCCTCCTCCTCCTCCTCCTCCTCACCGCGAGGCGCCCCCCGTGGCACCTCCGGGCGCGGAGGCGCCCTTGCTGCCCGCGGGGGCCCACGGCGGGCCGTGGCGCTGCGGGCTCGCCTCGGGCCCCGCCGCCTGCTGCAGCGCCGTCGCCGCGGCGGGGCGCGTCGCGCCGCGTCGGAAGCGACGGTGGTCAGTACCGTTCAACCGATCCTCCTCCTCCTCCTCCTCCTCCTCCTCCTCCTCCTCCTCCTCCTCGTCCTCCTCCTCCTCCTCAGTGGTTTGAGGAGGAGGAGGAGGAGGAGGAGGAGGAGGAGGAGGAGGAGGAGGAGGAGGAGGAGGAGGAGGAGGCGACGGTGGTCATTCCCCGTGCTCATCCCCTTCGACTCCCCCACCAAATTACACCCTCGCCTTGGGGATGCACCCCTCGAAGCCCGGAGGGTACGGCCCATTTCCCCCACCTAGGGGGGCAGATCGCCCAGTGGGGCCCAGCCCACGCTGGTGGGGAGGGGGATCGGTTGAACGATACTCAGGTGGCGGCGGCGCACCGGCGCCCTGCGGGGCCTGGGCGAGACCACGTCCCCGGCACGGGCGGCGGAGCCGTCGGGCGCCCTGCCCCGCCCCGCAGCAGGGGCCGCCGCTGTGCCGCCCGCGCCGCCCTGGGCGGCGCAGGTGGGCGGGTGGCTGTCGAGGGACGCGCGCGAGGTCGAGGCGCTGGGCACCCTGCTCCTCGTCGCTCTGATGTGGGGGTCCATCTCGAAGAAGACTGAAAACGTCACAAACCTAAACTGTTGGCGCTCCGCGCGTTTTTTTTTTTTTTTTTTTTTTTTTTTTTTGTTTTTTTGTATCCGCGCTGGGCCCCCCGGCGGCGCCTGTGGCGCCGCCCTTGGCGCGCTCCGCGCGCCAGGAAGGGGGGTCCAGCGCGGATCCAAGAAACCCGCGCGGATCGCCAAAAGTTGATGTTTATGTTGTTTTTTTCTTCTTCTACCATCGCCCCGCTGTTCAAGCTGCTGGACACGCTGCAGCACCCCCCTGACACATTGCTCGCGCTTCTGCTGCCCAACTTCACGGCGTTCGCGTTCTACCTCGCGCGGGGGGGCCTCCGCTTCGCGGCGGCGGGGGGGCCCGCCATGTGGGGCGGCCTCGAGGTGGGATTCTGGTTCCACGTGGCCAACCTGGTGTACTTTGTCGGCGTCTCTCGGACGCTGGCGTCCAACGCCACGTTCCTGGGGTCGCTCTCCACGGTCCTCGTCCCCGCGCTGCAGGCCGGCCTTGGCACCCCCGTGCCCGCGCACGTCTGGGCGGCGTGCGCCTCCGCTCTCCTGGGCTGCCTCGTGCTCGCGGGGGCCGGCGCGGGCGCGCCGCCGGCCGGCGGGGGCTCCTGGGAGGGCGACCTGCTCTGCGTCGCCTCCACGCTCTTCTACTCGGTGATGAGCCTCCGGCTCACCGCGCGCGCGGCCAAGGTGGACGCCGAGGCCCTCGCCTTCTGGAGCAAGGCGTCCACGGCGGCCCTCTCGGCCGGGACCCTGGCGGCCGCCGTGGGGCTCGGCGCCTGCGCGCCGCCCACCCAGGGCCTCGCGGAGGCCGCGCCGGGGGAGCTGCTGGCGGTGGCCGGGTTCGCCGTGTGGGACGGCGCGGTGGTCAAGGGGCTGGGCAGCCTGTGGCTGGTGGGCGCCTACCAGGTGCGCGGCGCAAAAGGCAAAGAAGCAAGAGGAACAAAAGCGGGGCCGTCGGCGCCGCCGTGGGCGGACGCAAGCTCCCCGCGCAGGGCCGCGCGTATAAGCGCCCTCGGCTTCACTGTGGCCCGCGTAAGCCGCGGCGTAACGTCGCTGCTGTACGTACGGCATCTCGCGCGAGACTCGTTCTTTTATTAAAAAATCCAGCGCAGCGAACGGCACCCAAGGGATCCAAAATCGACGGGCTGGCATCCCCCAAATCTGCAGCCCGAGAGAAAGCTTGAAACCCAGGCCCGCCCGCGGGCGATTGCCCCTGACCCGGGCGCCCTGGGGGACGGTGGAAACGCTCCCGCCGCCGAACTCCGAAAAAAAAAAAAAAAAAAAAAAAAAAATGCCGCGAGACCCCGTTTTTGCTCGTCGCTCAGGCGGTGACCCCGAGCGAGGCCGAGGTGGCGCTGGCGACCAGCCCTCTCTGGTCGCTGCTGCGGGCGGTGCTGCTGCTGGGGGAGCCCGCCGGCCCCGAGACCGCGGTCGGCGCCGGCCTCTTCTCGGGGGCTGGCAAAGGTACCCCCGTGGTCCAGGGTGCCCCCGGCTTTTCGCTCCATCCTGGAGCCCCGAATCATCAGGGGCAACTCGGGTCAGGGCTAACCCGGGTTCGTTTTCCGGGAGTCCGAGCCCGAGTTGCCCCGGGCCCGAGTTGCCCCGGATAGCTCGGGCGTCCAGAGCCCCGAATCATCAGGGGTAACTCGGGTCAGGGCTAACTCGGGTTCGTTTTTCGGGAATCGGAGCCCGAGTTGCCCCGGGCCCGAGTTACCCCGGATACCTCGGGCGCCCAAGCTCCATCGTGGAGCCCCTGGGGCCCGCTGGGCCTCGCGAGGGGTGCTCTGTAGGCCGCGGGGGCCTCCCCGAAAATCCTGGGGGCACCCTCCCAGAGATGCGATGCCGTGATTTTTGTCCATGCGTACTTTCCCTCCATCCCCATCGGTCAGGGGGAATGGGGGTCGGATCAATGATACTGACCGGTCGGCATGGATGCGGAATGCGTACTTTCCCTCCATCCCCCAAGAGGGCATGCAGATGCGAGTCGGTCCCTGGATGTCTCGCGCCCCATTCCCCAGGACCGGCTTTTCATCCTGAGCCGTTTTGTGGACGGTGCCGAGGCCCGGCGAGGGCCCCTGGGGGCCGAAGTTGGCGAAAAACCTCCGTCTTGATGTTTTTCCATGCGATGGATCTCTGGGCTTGGCCAGGGGCACCTCTATCAGGAGGGAAAGAAACACACAGACACAATTAATCCTCCATTCCCCAGAAAATATGGAGAAATATGGAAATTGGGGGGGAAGACAGAAACCCAGAAAATATACGAAAATATGGGGCATCATTTTATTTGTGTGTATTTATTTGTGTGTCCCAGTTTCCCTTCATTGATGTTTTTCCATGCGATGGATCTCTGGGCTTGGCCAGGGGCACCTCTAGCAGCACCCGAGCTTCGTCGGGGCTCTGGTGCTGGCCGCGGCGCCGGCGGGGGAGGCGCAGCGCGAGGGCCAGGGCGCGGCCGAGGCGGGGCAGCTCGGCGGCCAGAGGGCCGCGTGAGTTCCGCCTCCTCCTCCTCCTCCTCCTGCTCCTCCTCCTCTCTGGTCCTGGTCCTCCTCCTCCTCCTCCTCCTCCTCCTCCTCCTCCTCCTCCTCCTCCCCCTCCTCCTCCTCCTCCTGCTCTCCTCCTCCTCCTCCTCCTCCTCCTCCTCCTCCTCTCCTCTCCTCCTCCTCCTCCTCCTCCTCCTCCTCCTCCTCCTCCTCCTCCTCTCCTCCTCCTCTCCTCCTCCTCCTCCTCCTCCTCCTCCTTCCTCCTCCTCCTCCTCCCCTCCTCCTCCCTCCTCCTCCTCCTCCTCCTCCTCCTCCTCCTCCTCCTCCTCCTCCTCCTCCCCTCCTCTCCTCCTCCTCCCCTACTCCTACTCCTCCTCCTGCTCCTCCTCCTCCTCCCCCTCCTTCTCCTCTTCCTTCTCCTCCTCCCCCTCCTCCTCCTCTTCCTCCTCCTGCACCTCCTCCTGAGGTGCTCTGAAGGCGGCGCGCGTAACTGGTGCGCCGAGTGGTGTCTTCGGGATCGCCAGATCTGTGGAGCTGGGCCTCCCCAGAGATCCAACACCTTGAAGAAATCAAGACGGAGGTTTTTCGCTAATTTCGGCACCTAGGGTAATGATGCTCCAACCTACTTTAGCGTTGATCACCAGAGAGAATTTCGAGCGCCCAGAAAAAGACCGAAACTCAAGGGTTTTCACGTGTCGGGCCCTGGGAGACACTCGCCCGACACTGTTTCGACACTCTTTTGACACTTTCCCGGGTGCTCGAAATTATTTCTGGGATGCGGTCCTTAAGTAGGATGGGAGCAACATAACCCTAGGGGCCCTCGCCGGGCTTCGGGACCGTAAAAGAACGATTCGGGTCGAAAAACCCGTCTTGGGGAATGGGTCGATATTTCCGGGGACCCCGAGTTGAAAAAATCACGTCGTCGGATCTCTGGGTCGAAGAAGAAAAAAGCGGCGTAAACATAAACTTTTTGCGCTCCACGCGGATTTCTTGGACCTGCGCTGGGGCCCCCCTGGCGGCGCCTCCGGCGCCGCCCCTGGCGAGCTCCGCGCGCCAGGGAGGGGGGTCCAGCGCGGATCCAAGAATCCTCTCGGAGCGCCAAAAAAGAATGTTTATGGCGTTTCGTCTGGGGGTGCCGCGTATTGTGCTCTGCCCGCAGGGGGTCCAACGTCCCGGACAGCCGATTGCACGCTTGTTTGGCTGAAGTTCGCTTGGCTATGTTGCAGAAGCCGCGTATTCCGATCGAGCTTTAGATGCCATGGCAGTTTTCTGCGGGTGGTCAGACTTTGTTCCGGTCGCGTGCCGAGTAGCTCAGTGGCGCGGCACCGTCCGATCTGTTGCAGCGAGTGGTGTACAGAATGCTCTCTGCTGCCATTCCCGCCGCGCACTCACGACGTCGGTGTTGCTGACCGCGTAGGGAAGTCATGTGTCGCCATACGTTGCTTCCGAGTATCTGAGGCAATTTCTCCCGTCAGCTCGGCCAGCCCCAGCATTGCATGCTTGTGTGGTAGACCGTGTCGCAGGATCTCGCTTTTTGTATTGCCACGATCGCGCGGAAACGCCCGCATTGGGCCGGAGTGTGGTTTCTAGCGCGCTGTCCCCAAGGGGGGAATCGGCATGCCATGTGCCAGCTCTTTCCAAGGGAGGTTCTCTGCTGTTGGTCTAATGTGCTGAGATGGCTCTTGATCGCTGTGATCGATTGGCCTTCGCTTGGGTTGGCATGCATTCTGGATCATTTTCCTTGTGGTTTTCGGTCGCTGGGCCAGGGCCCAGTGGTCCCCGCTCGTGCACGGCTGGCCGCCGGGATTGACACGTGGACGGAGGTCGCGAAAACGAGTGGCACGCCTGCCCTGGCTACTGCAGGAGGTAGCAGCGAGGGACAGGAGGAGCGGAAAGGGGGGGGAGGGGGAAACGAACGCAACGACCGCAGAAGGCGGGCCTTCCTGGGGGCCCCCTTGAAATGAAGCGCCCGGTGACTTGGTATCCCTCGGACGTGTGCACTTTTTGCTCGGCGGGTATTCTTGATTAAGGAGCATCCTGGATCATCCTGCGAAAAAAAAGCCACGCACGACACCGACAAAAAGCACTTTTTCTCGGCGGAGATTTTCAATTAAGGAGCATCCTGGATCATCCTGCGAAAGAAACCACGCACGCAACCGACACAAAAGCACAGGGAGTGGACGTCCGAGCGCTGGCCAGGTGACCGCACCTCGGGCGGTGGCCCGGGACGGTCGGTCGCGCCAGCGAAGGTCGGGGGCGGAAAAGAGGGGGGTGATGACTAGGGGGGGGTGGATATCATGGCGGGGGCCATGATATTTCCCCAGATTTCATGGCGCCCCTTCTTATTTCATTCTGTCCCCGGCCCCCCCGCTGGGCCGCGCACATGCCGCCCGTCATGATTTGCACCCCCCCCTCTTGGACACCCCCCTCTTTGCCGCCCCCGAGAAGGGAAGCGTGGCCAATCGTGAGGGAGCGTCCAGAGCAGGGGAGAGGAGGCCACGGTAGGTTCGTGTCGTGTCGACCGGCGGCGACCCCGCCGCAGGCGTTCGAGGTGGAACGCCAGCGGCGCCCTACACCTTAAGCGATGCTTAAGAAAACTCATTTTTTCGGCCAGAGTCTCGATTATTCTTAATGTTTCAATGTAACTCCTAAGATTTGAATGGAAATGTTGGGTTTTTATTCAAGTTCTGAGACTATGAATTTCTGAACCCATGATTTCTTAAGCATTTCGCAGGGTGTAGAATTGGTCGATGCTGAACGAGCAAACGTTGCGGAAGCGGCCGATCGTTCAAGGTTGAACGATGCCCCCAGTGTCCGAAGGATTGCAACAAAAAACGAAGGATTGCAAAAAAAACGAAGGATTGCAAAAAAAAAAAACGAAGGATTGCATTCCTTCGTTTCTTTTGCAATCCTTCGTTTTGTTTGCAATCCTTTTTTGGGAATCCTTCGTTGCAATCCTTCGTTTTTTTGCAATCCTTCGGGTTTTTTGCAATCCTTCGAACCAAAGCCCGGGTCGACACGACACGAACTTGCCGTATGGGGGAAGGGGGCCGCGGTCGGGGCGAGAGGGGGAAGGGAGGCAGGGCCGGGGCGAGGCAGGGGGAGACGGACGTACAGCACGAACGAACGCACCCAGAGATCCAGCAGAACGAAGGATTGCAAAAAAACAAAGGATTGCAAAAAAACGAAGGATTGCAAAAAAAACCTTCGCATCCTTCGAAACGAAGGATTGCAAACAAAAAAAAACCCAGGATTGCAATCCTCCGAAAACATCAGGACGGGGGTATTTTCTTTCCTTCAAATCTCGGCCCCTATAGGGGCCCTCGCCGGGCCTCGGGGCCGTCAAAAGACGATTCAGGATGAAAAACCGGTCCTGGGAAATGGGTCGAGACTTCCGGGGACCCCGCACTGAAAAAACCACAGCGTCGGACCTCTGGGAGCGAACGAACATGAAGCGGCTCTGGGGCCGGGAGGGGGGGGCAGGGCTGGGAGGCTGGGGCACTGGATACTTGGGGAGTGCCTGCAGGGCCAGGCGTGACCAGGGCAAGGTGGGCCAGGGCGAGGGAGAGTGGTTTCGGCCTTGCCGCCGGGCACTCTTTTCAATGCGTGCTGGGGGGAGGGGCAGCTTTCGTCCACCCGGACGGGCATGCTTAGGGGAACAATGTTTGATCCGCGGGTCGAGAGTGCACCTCTTCCGGTCGAAGCTAATGCTTAGGGGAACAAGCCATGACATAAGCATAACAACTCAGAGGTCCGCGCGGAGCGCGCCAGGGGCGGCGCGCGGCGCCGGAAGCGCCGCCAGGGGGGCTCCAGCGCCGATCCGAGAGATTCGCGCGCGGGCCTCCGAGCTTTTATCTTTACCCTCCACCTCCATCTTCCATACCTTCCCACCTCGGCGGAAGGCGCGGAAGGTGATACATTGAAACCATTGAAAGCCTCAGGAAACGCAAGAAAAATCAGCGCTTCACGAAGCGCAAGGGTGTGGAAGGTCAGCACGGAAGGTCTGGAAAAATGAGGGCGAGGGTAGGTCATTGCTTGTTCCCCCAGTTCATGCTTTCCCCGCAGGGGGAAGCTCCGACGGCCCCATATAGACCCTCTTTGAGCAGACAGCCCTCTGGAGGTCCTGGCCCCCCCCCTCCAGAACCTTCGGAGGGTGATAGACCTCCTACCCTGACACGTCGATTAGCGAATTGGCCGTTTTCGGTTCGCGAGAGTGCAAAGCGGCCGCCATTTTTGCAGGTCCAAGTCCGTCGGTCTCGGTCCCAGGGCGTTCTCACTAGAGGGAGGTTTGCTACAGGGAGGTTTGTCCACCGCCAGAACTGGTCTCCTGCCCCGCGAGCCGTTCCTCGTCGGCCCTGGTGCCCAGAGGCGGTTGCGCAGCTGCCGAGACGTCTATGGACGACTCGTCGGACGCTGAACGTACGGCAGGTTCGCGTCGTGCCGACCGGCGGCGGCCCCACCGCGTGCGTTCGGGAGCCTCGCTCCTCGCTCCTCCTCGCTCCTCCTCCCTCCTCCTCCTCCTCCTCCTGCTTCTCCTCCTTCTCCTCCTCCTCCTCCTCCTCCTCCTCCTCCTGCTCGTGGGCGATCGCACGAAACGAGCACCGCGCGGACAGCGATCCCGGCCTCTCGGAGGATGAAGGGTGATCCCCGCCAGAATCGGCCCGTCGTTGAACGATCCGGCGTTCACGGAGCGTCCGATCGTTCAAGTTTGAACGATCCCCGCGTTGCCAGGAACCAACGCCAGATTCGACACGACGCCAACCTGCCGCGGGTATTTTTGGACCCCCAGATGCCAATCACGTCTGCTTTAGAGCCGCCTTCCTGCTTCAAGAGTCGAGTGGTTTCCCCTCCTCCCTCCTCTTCGGGGGGCGGGCCCCAGACATGCGACGTCCTGGTCTTTTCGGTGCGTCGTCCCCCCAAAGTCCCGACCCTTCCCCCTGGACCGGTTTTTCATCCTGAGTCGCTCCTTGACGACAACCAGGGTCCGGCGAGGGCCCCAGATGCCGAAAAAACGGTGAAAGACATCCGTCCGGAGTTGTTCCACGACGCGGCCATGTTCCGGGCTTGCTGGACGAGGTCGGAGTGGATGGGGTCGGCGGATTGCGCCGCATGGTCGATGCATCGCCGATGCGGCTCGGTGTGAAGCCCCAGTTGCTTCACGCCGACGTCGCCGATGCATCGCCGACGTCTACGACGCATCGCCGACGCATCGCCGACGCATCGGCGATGCATCGGCCATGCGGCGCGATCCTCCGACCCCAGCTGCTGCGACCCCATCCAGGAGGCCTCTATTCCAGCGCCTTCCTGCCTCATTCGGGCCCGACGAAAGGGGGGGGATTGGGAGAAGGGGGGGTTACGGAATCTGCTGCATGCAGCTGGTTTCGGTCCCACCGCCGGGCCCATTCCTCGATGCATGGAGGCGCCTCCGCCGGGAGAATCAGCTACGTGAGCTGATTCTCCCCCCCCCCCTTTTGCTATCCCCCCCCCTTTTGCTATCCCCCCCCCCTTTGCTAACCCTCTCCCTTTTGCTTATCCCCCCCCCCCCCTTTTGCTATCCCCCCCGCCCTTTTGCTACCCCCCCCCCCCTCCTCTTTTGCTTTTTGTCCCCCTCTGTGCCAGCGCCTTCCTGCTTTGTGGGTCTGCGCCCACTGCTCCCGCGGCCGACGGTCACAGCGCGTGGGGGAGCCCCCCGCCCTTCGCCCCGTCGCCGCCCCTGCTCGAGTCGCCAGTGGGGATCTGCGGCGGGAGGGCGCGGGCTGCGGTCGGGGCGTCGGACACCGCAGAGGAGGAGGAAGGTACGAGGAGGAAGGTACGAGGAGGAGGAGGAGGAGGAGGAGGAGGAGGCGGAGGAGGAGGCGGAGGCGGAGGAGCAGGAGGAGGAGGAGGAGGAGGAGGAGGGGGACGAGTCTGAGAGGGGGAGGAAGAAGAGGAGGAGGAGGAGGAGGAGGAGGAGGAGGGCCCGATGGCTCGAGTTATCGCCCGGTCTGGAGCAAAGCAGTCTCTTCGTCGCGGTTGGCCCGGTTGGACCAGGAGGGGGAAGAAAAGGAAGCAGGCAGACACAATGCACCGCCGATTCCCCGGGAAGTATTGACAGGTATGGGAAGCGAGGGGGGGGGAGACGAGCATCCAAAACATATGAGGAGGTGTGGGAGATCCTGGGATTTGTGTGTATTTATTTGCGTGTTCCTGGGCCAGGAATGTGCCCATGAGGCTTCAGCCCCTGGAGGACTCCCTATCTGACGAGGGCGGTGGTAAAGTCCACGGCCCATCAACGATTGGAGCTTCGCCGTCTTCCAGGCCCTGGCTTCCTTGACCAGGGGCTCCTTCTTCGATGCTCTCACCGTAGGCACTGGCACCGACCCTGGCCCAGGACCGGTGCGTGTGCGCCCTCCCGGCGCGGCGAGGGGGGCGAGGACTGCGCACACTCTTCGCGTCAGCGGCTGTAGGCCTATAGGCAAAGGGGGGGTGGCTGCGCTGGCGACCAGGGGCATGCAGGGGAGGCCCATGCCACGAAGCACCCTGCTTGCCTCCAGGGTGGCCTGTGCTTCTTGGGGGTGTCGATGGTCTTGCCATCCAGAGCGTGGCGCTCCCAAGCCAGAAATCCGTGGGCGTCCTGGGGTCTCAGGGTTGGGTTTCCTGTGGACGGTTTCTTGTGGACTGGACTCCACTGTAAACAGGGGCTCCGTTGGAGCGAGCTGTGCCACCACGCAAGAGGAGGAGGGAAGAGGGACGCGGAGAGATGCGCCCACGCCAGCCCTCGGCCCAGGACTGGCCTGGCCAGGAGCGGTGCGGGTGTACAGTCCAGGAAGACGGCTAACGGGTTGGAAGAATAGGGCTGGGAGAAAGGAGGATGTCATTACCCGTAGGCGGTCGAAGGTATCGTTCATTGCATCCCGCCCCCGTGCCGAGAGTGCGGACAACCCGCCGGTTGAGAAAGTCACATCGTCGGAGATCTAGTTCCATGGCGGAAGGAGGAGGGGGAGGAGGAGGCTGAGGAGGAGGAGGAGGAGGAGGAGGAGGAGGAGCATGAGAAGGATGAGGAGAAGGAGGAGGAGGAGGAGGAGCAGGACCAGGAGAAGGTGGGAGAGGAGGACGACGAGGAGGAGGAGGAGGAGGAGGAGGAGGAGGAGGAGGAGGAGGAGGAAGGAGGACGAGGAGGAGGAAAGGGGAGGAGGCGGACGAGGAGGAGGAGGAGGAGAAGGAGGAGGAGCCCACTGGCGCCCGCGCGCGAGGCGACCGCCCGGCCGGTGCCACGGGCGCCGTGGCCTCCGGCAACGCGCCCGAGGAGGCGGCGGCCAACGAGCCGTGGCGCCAGGGCACCGCGCCCGCGCCCTCTGCCCACTTCTGCATCCATCGCTCGCCTTTCGTGTCGTTCTGGAGGAGGAGGATGAGGAGGAGGAGAAGGAGGAGGAGGAGGAGGAGGAGGAGGAGGGGGAGGAGGAGGAGGAGGAGGAGGAGGAGGAGGAGGAGGAGGAGGAAGGACGAGGACGAGGAGGAGGAGGACGAGGAAGAGGAGGAGGAGGACGAGGAGAGGAGGAGGAGGTGGGCAAGGATGATGAGGAGGAGGAGGAGGAGGTGGGCAAGGATGAGGAGGAGGAGGAGGAGGAGGAGGAAAAGGCGAGCGACGGCGACGACGACGACGACGATGACGACGACGACGGCGACGACGACGAGGACGACGGGGCCGCCGCCACCGGCGACTTCCTTCTTCTGGACCTCCCCAAGGGCACTCCATTGCCGCGGCCATACACATCCTGGCAAAAAAGCTGCTCGCGTAGAAGCTGGCAGTAGGCCCAGGGTCCTGTCTTGGAGCGGGTGTCGGGCCAGGGGGCAGCTTGAGGGTTCCGCGTGGTTGTTGAGAAATTCGGCCCAGGCTTTCTCCGCACACGCCTGCTGTGCGCTGGAGTGCTGTGCTTTGCTTTGCTGCGTGGTGTGCTGTGCTACGCCGTGTGGTGCAGTTCGCACGAGGTGTCGTCGCGATGTCCGTGGTTGTTCGTCGTTAGTATTATGGCCATCGGGACCTCACAGGGCTTCTCATAATGCGAGCAGAGGCACACAGCAGACAGGCAGTCGCAAATCGCGCATCGCTCCCTTGGCACAACTCCCCTCCTTCTTCTCCTCCTTCTCCTCCTCCTCCTCGATCGCTCCCCTGCTCCTCCTCTTTCTCCTCCGCCCGCGATCTCTCGGCAGGCTGGGCCTGCACCTCGCGTGCGTAGCCTCTCAGTGGCGGAACGGTGTGGCCGCGCCAGCGACGGGTCTGTACACCAGTCTCCTTGCACAAGCCGACACTTCCCCCAGGTCGAGTGTTTTGGTTTGCTCCTCCCCTCCTCGTGACGTGACTGTCAAGCTGACTCTGCTCCGGGGCGCGGGTGCCTGCTGGCATTGGATCTGACATCACACAACGATCGACATCTTCCATGCGTGCAGCAGCGCATGACTAGAACAGTCCTCTCCGGATCAGGCAGCTTCCAGAAGAGGAGGTGGACGCCTACTGCGCGTGGTGTGAGTGAGTCCATGGTAACGCTGGCATTTTGCATTCTCTTCCACCGCAAGCGCGGTTTGGTACGGATGTGGCGTTTCCTACAGGCTCCTACCACGCGTGCCTCGACAGCATCCTAACTGGGAGAGCCTACCAGTTCTCTCAGCGGGGGATCGGACGGGTGGCGTGTCTCTCACGGGCAGCCAGCGCCAGTAAGCCGCAATCGTCATCGTCGTCGTCGCCGTCGCCGTCATCGTCGTCGTTTCCCGACGGCGCCGTCGTCGTCGGCGTCGTCGTCTCTGACGGGCATCCTCCCCTCGTTGTCGTCGTCGCCGCTGCCGTCAGCGTCGTCGCCGCCCCTTGGCGCAGCGGCTCCCCCGCAAGCATGGGGTGCCGCCTCGGCGGGAGGGCAGGCATGCGTGAAAGAATTCGCCACCTGCACGCGTGCCAAACCGTTCGGGGGCCGCCCCGGTCCGGTTCGGTTCCGGTTCTGGTTCGGTTCGGTTCCCCCCGGTTCGGTTCTGAGTACATTCGGTTCGGTCCGGTTCGGTTTTTGATTTTTCTTGTTTAGGGCCCGTTCGGTCCAGTCCAGTCACGGTTATCGGTTCTCGGTTCGGTTTGGTCTTTTCATGCAAACGCACCTTGCATGCCCTCGCCACGGGTCGAAGAAGAAACAACGCTGTAAACATAAACTTTTGGCGCTCCGCGCGGACTTCTTGGATCCCCGCTGGGGCCCCCTTGGCGGCTCCTCCGGCGCCGCCCCTGGCGCGCGGAGCGCGCCAGGGAGGGGGGGTCCAGCGCAGATCCAGGAAGTCCGCGCGGAGCGCCAAAAGTTTCTGTTTATGGCGTTTTTTGGGGGAGGGTGGGGGGGAAGGGATCGGGTCCTGAGGGAAGCGGGTCTTGAGGCTTTTCGCA